GGGTGCTGGATGGAAAAACAAACAAACAGACAAACAAATAAAATCATTTTAAAAACTAAATCCGTTTGCTCAAATTTCGTCACCAACTGAGGCATACAGAAGGTACAAGCGGTAACGTCAACTCGTGGCTTCAGGGTCCTCACGAGGAATCATAATTTTTTCATTTATTTACAACGATATTTTAACAGGTTCCTGTAAATGATTAAATGGGATCAAGGTTTGGAGTATAAAAATAGGGATCATATTAGTGAAAATGAGTATCGCTGGTCGGTCATTCTAAATTAAATTCAGTACGAATATATATATTTTGGAACAGTCGCTCAGTATTACAGCTCAGAATGTCTGAGACAAAGACGTGGTCACCCGATGCATGTGGAATRTGTCTTTATAGTCCACTATCATTAATAGTGTTATGTTTTTGAATATCCTCTATAATATCCGTTCCACTAGCCTACTGTGCTACACGTCCCGTACTATATAACAAGTGCCCAAGGAAATGTGGTGGCTCGATATAAAGAACTGAGGAACTACGTTTCCGCTTCAGTAGTTGATCGAAAAGGATTCGAAATGCCCGGCGCGGTCTACATGAACACCTACGCTTTCCTATCTCGCAAGAAAGTTGAAAGCGTTAGACATCTTTTTGTGACATCACAGAATACAATATGATTATTGTCGCTCGAATCTCGAGAAAAATAAGTTTGTCAAAGAAAAAAGTGAACGATAACTTGATTATGTGCAAGGAATATATCGGGATATCTGGGTTTGGAGCGATAAAAAACTATACAAATAATAACTTGTTGGTGAGGGAGTCAGAGGCGATGCTAATAGGAAGTATAAACTAGAAGGAAGATTATGCTTTCTCTAAAATAGAGCTTGAATAGCCTAGCAAGGTGAACCAGTGTCGTGATCAGACAATCCAATATCAAGAAGCGTTAAGAGACGCGTGATCTTTAATTAATAAAAGCTACCTCACCACGATGTGAACACTTCATAGTCAAATATTACCAACCAACTTCTAGATGGGAAAAAAAGTTCGCAAAATCTTGTGGCTTTAAGTTCTGTTTCTCCTTGATTAATGTGCCTTTTTTACTCACTTTGTATCTTGAGATTTCTTGAATTTATAAAGAAATAATAAAAACGATTTGTTGTATTGATGTATTACATTTTAAGTCGAGACAAGTGACGCAAGCGTTCAAATGAGGGAACTATTTAGAAAGCTTAAATGTAGTGTTAACTGTCCTGATTGAAACAAGTGTCCACACGACTGACCTCAGAGAGCATCCGAAAAATTGATCTAAGCAGAGACCAGTGACGTAGAAAACCACAATTTGGTTTGTTAATGGCCGATTAGTGCTTGAAGCTTAACGAGTGTTGAGCTATTTTAGGAAGGAATGCTCAAGAAATAGAAACAGGAACACTGTACAATAATACGTCTGCTTGCAGAGGAAGTACAAACACATTATCATCCGAAAGAAAAAAGGGAGATGCAGGAGTTAGTGTTGAGAGGAAACGATGATTTTGATGTGCTGAGATTTGGGGTTCAAAACAGCGGGTGGCATCGACTACATCAACTAACACAAAGACAAGCCATCCGATTAAATCACAATAAAGACAAAAAAGCCGCTTTGAATCAAGACAAAAGAATATATAGGTCATGGCTTGATAAGGACCTCTATTTGATTATTCAATGACACTCGATGTTTTCAGCAATCATTGCCGCTATGATAAAGAGTCCATCTATTCTATTTGACTACAAAGCATTGAGATCCCGGGACGCAGACGTCAAATATGGGCGGAGTTTTACATCTAACTAACACATATAAGGCTCAACGTTGGACCTTTTGGACCATTCGTCTCTCTCGCGTCAGTCGAATTCTTTGCATTTGAAGATTTCAAGCCAGGACCCCCGTGAGGAAAGAACGAAAGATTAGGTGGGACTTTAAGGGATATTTTGGAGTGAAAGATGAAGAATGTTTGCTTCTTCTTGTTGTGGTTGGCAGGTGTGGCTCTTGCTGATGGTAAGTAAATACTGATCGATACATCAAATCTTTGTCAATAGTGATCAATAACGAAAATTATGGCTGTGTTTTGCTGATGAAAAATCTGTGGGCTTTGGAGCAAGTTTCTTTGAAATTCTCTCTCTCTCGAGAGTACTGTTGAATCGATTGGAAGGGGGAGGGGGGATTGAAGTTTACTAGCATTCAACGCTGCTCTGCACAGCCGCAAAGTATACTAGGTTTAARAATACTACAAGGTTATATCAGGGAGTGCATTCGATAGTTTTTATTCCAAGATATCAAATCAATACTTGTTTGATCCATAAGAAAACTAACTCCGCAGTTAACCGAAGTTTCCATTCAAAATGCCTAAGGATAATAAAAATACAGAAGTAAAATACAGACGAGAGAAAACTAACGCAAAGGAAGTTCTTGAGTCTGTAAAAATTGCTATTCTTTTTGCGACGTTAACTTTCAATTTTGAATGAATCTTTTATATATATTTTGACTCAAAAACCGAAATGAAATCATTTTTGTTCAGATCGAAGTTACAATCAAAGTACATGAAGCGTGCCACCTACTCGGTGCATCACAAAGCTCATTATCATTGGATTTTCCGATTCATTCTTCGTTTTTCAATCTTCCGTTAATGCATTCAAAAATAACTTTCTAAAAGGTGTCCTAATAAAAGCAGGTTTCCCAGTGTCACACAACAGTGGTTTCGCCTTCTAAAGTTGTTGAATCACTCGGCTTTTTGTTTTACGAACTTCACTCGACTCATTCGGAAGCTAGATTGAAAAGAAGAAGCAGAACGTTTTGAAAAATCCAATAATAAACTGAATAATGCAGTCTATGGGGGACACGCCTCATGCCTCGACTGTAAGTCCTTTTCTACTACTTTTCCTTGTCTTCTGCGCCGGGTTGTTAAGATGTTGCTGTCTCTCTCTAGTTAAAAAACAAAATGGATTTTAAATTCATTTGGTCGTTCGTATCACATAGTTAGTGATATTTTCAATTCCTAAACACTGAATCAAGTCGATACGCAGAGATGATTTACAACCACTTGTATCACTCCACTTGGCTGCGCGATGATCTTTAGTCTTTGATCACAATTATTGCCTATAGTTGAACTAATTATGGCATTTCTGAACTAACGGCTCTAGGACACGACCAAAACCATTTCGATCAAAATGATATTAAAATAAAAAAATAAATTTAACAGAAAGGAAAAGTGACGTCTGATTCTTATTAACCAGGCAATTGTTACTGATGTGCTTGGCTTCAAACTATATATTCAGATATAGTACAATATCCGTATTGCCTCGAGGTACAATAGATTTATCTGACCAATACAATATCACTCCTATATACATTAAATCTTCGCTCCTTCTGACTGAGTTTAAGCCAATCCCGTATATGGATGTAGCAATTATGGAGAACCCATTATCAGAGGCCACATCAAAAGCATCCGAATTGTTTAACTAATAGTCGATTTAAAAAAATCAACCGAACGATGAGAATGAACAGAAATAGACTGAATAGAAAGTAGGCATTTCAAAGTGTATATTTTCATATTTTTGGATGTTTTATCGCGCGCGACAAATGTTTCAATGCTCAACTCAGTTTCGATCTTTCATTGTTTCTCTTTTTTGCTTTGTCAATATTAGTTTACTACATGTCTTCGGCCAAGAGACCAATCTTAAAAGATGGAATTAAGTATATGCATGTGTACGAAAAACCAGTTAAATGTTATGGAAGTTAGAGGAGGTACGTTGCAGCCCTCCTCCTTTCGATCAGTCAAAAATTGAATTAATTGATCCTCAAAAGTGGACTTTTGAAATGTTCAAATTTGTACCGATGACCCTCTGCTCTGAAGTTCCAGCTCTCCTCCAAAAAAAAAAAAAGATCTTTACTAAGTATATATATTAGAGATGCTAGTGTTATGGAATTTCTTTATGGCGTGTGAAAGCGAAGCAGTTAAATGCATAGGAAAGCCATTTCGGTGTTATTGAATTTAGCTAAGTATACAAAAAGCCATTGAAGTACCATTGAGTTTAGTTAAGCATACTAAAAGCCATTGAAGTGTCATTGAGTTTAGTTAAGTATACGAACAGCCATTGAAGCGTTATGGAATTTAGCGTAGACACAGCGGTAGGTGCTGCAGGTTTATAAATAGTATAATGAATTATTCAAAAACTGGAAATTGTTCTTCAACCATTAAGTACGTGACGGCCCAGGCAAATTGCTACGAAAGCGTGCAAGAACAGACAAATAAAAATAGAAAAGAACCATTGCGCTATATTAAGGATCATTTAGGTGTGTGAGTTTAGGCCGTTAATCCAGCGAGCGTGGGAGATTTAATCCTCAGGAAGTGTTGTACAATAAAGTTTCACCCCAGATAATGAGGATACTTTTGTCTTCCATAACAAGGCTTGCCTAAAAATAACTTGCTTCTAAGAAATGGTCGTGCGTTCGTTTTGGAGCCCTGCACGAAATCAGAATCATGAGATGGAACACTCACGCACGATGAACGTGATGTCGACGATGACGACATGCAATAATACGGATCGATTTCGAAATGAAAAAAATCTTGATGGTAGAGTGATCACTGATACGATATATATCACTTATAGTCAGTATTCGATTTCGAAATGAAAAAAATCTTGATGGTAGAGTGATCACTGATACGATATATATCACTTATAGTCAGTATTCGATTTCGAAATGAAAAAAATCTTGATGGTAGAGTGATCACTGATACGATATATATCACTTATAGTCAGTATCCACCACACAGTTGAAAATTAGAAGCTTGAAAGTTTAGAAGAACTAGTTTTCTAGCCCCCAAAAAGCAAAAAGCGATTAACAATATTAAATCTTCTGGCAAAATTCTAAGTCTATGACTGTGCGAAAGTACGATTTTTTTAAACGCAGTGTCTAAATGTCCGGCAGCCGGTCGCGGTCTAAAATTGACTAAATGCCCGGCAGTCCAAACTTTCACCCAAAAAAACGAGAACTGGCTACAGCTAATGGAATCAAACTAGTCTAACTTTATTATGGTATATTAAGCGCTTCCTGTAGTCTGGACTGATTCGAAAAAAGATTGTCTGTCTTTGCTCGGCATAGAATACGGAGCACTTGGCCATGGTTCATGTCACTTAGAATATTTTCACCAACACTGCCGGTCGCGGTCTCAAATACACTAAATGCCCGGCAGTCCAAACTTTCCGATAAAATGATTAATTATTAAAATGATACTATGTAGCAATATAAGACTTAATGTTTAAATAAAATTGCATTGTGTTATTGCATGTGCCTTTAGCACCTTTTCGCCCTTCTTACCACAACTAGCTTTTTTACCTACCCTTACCTACTTGTCCCATCGTCGTTTATTTTTTTGCGAAGTAATACGAAACAATCCTTATTAGAAGCAGTGTAGAGTACAAGAAGCGATTAATATTCCTAGTCGATAAATTTAGACTAGTTTGGCTTCATTAACGTAGGTAATTTATCTTGCGAAAATTGCGACCGGCAGTGTTGGTGAAATATTCTAAGTGACATGAACCATGGCCAAGTGCTCCGTATTCTATGCCGAGCAAAGACAGACAATTTTTTTTCGAATCAGTCCAGACTACAGAAAGCGCTTAATATACCATAATAAAGTTAGACTAGTTTGATTCCATTAGCTGTAGCCAGTTCTCGTTTTTTTGGTGAAAGTTTGGACTGCCGGGCATTTAGTCAATTTTAGACCGCGACCGGCTGCCGGGCATTTAGACACTGCGTTTTTTTAAAATCCTACCCAACATTTAACTCTAGCTTTCTTCGTAAAACAAAATCCACGTCCATAGAATCCATAGAAGGAGCATTTTTGAAAGTCGAATTTTCTGGTCGAAAACATTGTCTTAAAAATACGAAATGCGGAATCGTAAAGACAAATTCTACTTTAAAACTATCTACTGAACTGGACTAGGAGATTTCGCAGTAGCCTGGACGATTTTTTTGATGTTGTTGTTGAAGCTCCCGCTAACTCAATAATGATATCGGATTAAAAGAAGTCATTTGAACAATTTCACAATATACATAAAATATACTAAAAATGATCATAATGTTAAACAAAAGCAATATCCTCTGATGTTTTGAAAGGTCTCACCGGAAGTCACTATACTGTTTTACAATCAACCTTTTCTGACTAATGAGCCGATGGATAATACATGAATCGCCAAATAAAGATTTATTCCTTGCCGTGGGAAACGGTTTGGTCACAAGGGCGGATCCAGGGTTTTTTTGAAGGGGGGGTCTCAGGGTTAAATTTTGTGGGCAAAGGAATCCCAGTCGCATTTGTACCACAGGAAGCCCATTTGACCTCAGGAATGACAGGGGGGTCGCGACCCCCCCGACCCTCCCCCTGGATCCGCCCTTGGGTCATGTGTTTCAACTAAAGTGAAAAATCCGTAAACAGTTTAAAATAGCTTCCAAAATATATGTTGTTTTTCTAAAGGATGGTTACAACCCATTTTAAATCCGAAACTACTCTCTTTTTTACATTCAAACATGCATTTGTTTGCTATGATGTTAAAACCAGTAGAAAGATCAGAAGAAGAACAAGAAGATTCAAGTAGTGAGACACGTGAAGATGCTAAAATACCGAATGCATATAAACGAACGCGACTATTTTCTAACGTCAGACTCAAATGGGTCTTATATATTTAGTATCTAGCGAGAAATCAAGCTGAGTAGGTTCTGTTAAAACAGGTTCCTATTTACGAGCAAATTCAAGTGCTTCTGATATTGTGTTTTCACATAAGAATCTGTCTCATTTGTCAGACTGAAGTGATTCTTGTATATTGACATTGGAAGGTCTTTTCTTCCCTTCAAATATTAACACTGAATATTCCCAATGATATACTTAATGCTCAGTTACTTTCACGTAAGAACCTGTCTCATTTGTCAGACTGAAGTGATTCTTGTATATTGACATTGGAAGGTTTTTTCTTCCCTTCGAATATTAACACTGAATATTCCCAATGATATACGTAATGCTTTACACTTTGTACATAAGAACCTGTCTTTGTATATTGGATGCTTTATAAGCTAAATTTCAGCCCGCGGGTGTTTGTTAATCCATGGTTCTTTTATGCGAGTTTCTACTGTAGAAACGGATAAACAGAACTGAAAGAGCAGCATGAGAACCAGAGCTTACCTACTCTTTTTCTCCTTTTATTTCATTAATTCAAAGTATATTTTATTGCCGCCTTCAGAGAGAAGAGAGTTTATCGTCTCAACCAGAGAAGACGAGGCTGTCAAAATAGACTTCACCAAGTTCAACAATGACCTCAAAATTGCTCCCAAGGTACTAATCCTCCAGAAGCCCAAGCATGGAGTCTTCCCTTGTTCGCAGACACAAGGCTCTATAGACCTCCAAGAAGGCTTCTGTGATGTAATCACTACCTATTTACCCAACCCTGACTTTTCTGGCGAAGATACATTTGCATATTCGTACCTCCTCGAAAACATGACAGCGACGTCTGACGGTAATTACTTCGTACGTGTAATTGTAAAACCCAAACTAAACACTGTTGAAGCGGTATCCGACTATGCTACCATGACAACGGAGGATGATCACGTGCGTATTGCAGTTTTGAAAAACGACCTGTTCCAGGACAAAGCTGATGTTTGTATTCAGACGAATGTGGCTGCAGTTGACGAAGATGCCGAGGTCCGTTTCGAGGATGTGGCACCGAGTTTGGGTATGACTTCAATACAATCTTTGCCACCAAAGGCTCCTGACTGCTTGTTTGATCAATACGACCCCAAGCTAAAGGTCAGTAGTTGAGTGTCTTTTATCTTCAAATTTTATCGTTCTGAGCAGTGGCGGATCCAGAAATTTTAAAAGGGCAGGGGTGTCTGATACAAAGGGTTTACCAGGGATGTGAGGAAAAGGGGGTGGCTTAYTAAGGATAATACTGAGAAATTGGAGCAAAAGGGAAAGTGACAATCTACCCCCTTCACMACCCCCTGGATCTGCTCCTGCTGAAACAGCCTCTGAGCTGACGAAAGTCGGGGCAAGGCTATATATTGGCTCAACTCGAATTGGGATTTAGCATGTTAGGTTTTACGGAGGGCGCAAACCGAACCGGCGAAAACCTTCGAATCAAGGTAGAGACCGAAAGAAACTCTACTAATATATGATGCCGTGTGTCTGGGAATCAAATCCAAGGTCCATGCAGAGGTGAGAGGCGAGTGCTCTACTGCTGCACCACCCAATGATTTCCAAGGTTATAGGTTCTGTTGTATTTGAAGTGAAAACTAAACTCATTTATCATATCTCCAGCTATGGATCAAAGGGTCGTTCTGTCTGCCTGATCTCAGTAGTGGTACAGCAGCACTAGCAGACTATGATGGTGATGGTCTGATGGATATCTATTATGCAAGAGCTGATGGACCTGATGAACTTTGGCGTAACATGGGCCACGGGACTTACAAACTGGTCACCTCAGAGGCTGGTCTTGATGGGACTATTCACCACAGGTAATACTCACTGAACATGATATTGGAGTGCATAGTTAACCTCATGTCTACTCGTACCACGGTAGCGGATCTTGAACGCTATGACGTATTTCATATCTCTATTACTCGCCAGAGTCCCAGAGTTGGAAGGGGGGAGGGG